TGACAGTTGTCACTGGTAGATTCCAAACACTTCGTAGTCTGTCACACCAAAATTTCGAGCTCCCGTGAAGAATGTGTTCTGCTGTTCGGTGGGAAGCTGATAGGAGTTGCCGAGATTACTGTAACTTGAACCACTTTTGTTTGCGTTGTTTGATACCTGTAAGTCATGCCCTCTACCAAATGTTGGTCCATGGCAGCTGTTACAGTAAATGGCATACTGGTGATCTTTGGCGAGTGGCATTTTAATCGGATCAACTCCCTGTGGATTCACCATGCTGAACAAGAATGACTGTGAACAGTGCAGGTACTCATTCTGACCTGTTTTAGAAAAGAGACAGAAAAATGTTACTGGAATAACGTTCACATCTAAATTCCTTAAGCAGTTTTCCAGAATCGCCATGATAACATGGGAGCAAATTTTAAGAGGCGATGATGTCAAAGGGAGATTCGAATACTGCTTCCTTCCCTTCCCTCCCCACCCCCACCACACATACATCCTCCCAGTTGCAGAATTGAGCTATTTACTTACTGTTCCACGAATTTTCTGTGAAACCACCGAAAATATTGTTTCCACTTCTTACAATGGTAACTGTGGGTCCTTTGTTATCACATTTGGAATGAAAGGCTTGAGCTGTGAAACCATCTCGAAAACCTCGAAAAAGAAGTTGCCATTTACCGGGTTGAGGCAACCAACCGTTAAGCGTGCTTCGGTGCCTTACATTCGTCAGTATCACTGACTCTTCAAAACATTTCAGCCCTTTATACTTCAGCTCCTCCAGTAACCCTTGGATCTGGTAGAATTTTGCCTCGGCTTCGAGTTCCTTGAGAAATTTAGCATCCTCTGGTATAATCAGCTCTCCATCGCGGAGATAGTTGAGTATAAACCGGAAGTGTTCCCCATCTCGGTCGATAAAGAAAGCTCCGTCTTCGGAAGGTTTCACCTCGAACTTCCCGGAGAACATGGCAGCTAACATCGAGTCTGGATCTTTAGTCAACGTCTGAAGACTTGTCGTGAAACGGCGGCCGCCAACATTGAGGTTAATCGTCGAAGAAAGGTGGACGTGGTCTATTTTCTTCGACATGGCGTCGATTGCTTCTTGCTCCTGTCGAAGTCTTGTTGCTTCTCTTTGCAATACCTCACAGACCTCTTTAATTTGATTTTCAGCGTCTTTAAAAACTTGATTGTTTAAGCTACTGCCTTCTTCGATGCTTTTTTCATTCATATTCTAGCAGAGGAACAACTGTTGTTCCAATGTAACACGCGGCGGTGACAGCGAAACTTCAGACAAAAATTGTAAACTTGCATTGGTCATGTGACAAAGTGACAGTTGTCGAACCGTAACAGTCAAGAGTAACGCAATCCTTATAATAGCGTAACGAACTTGAATATCTCTTGATCACATTGCCAGTCGACGCTCTCCGTACAACACGGTGACTTAATAATGATCTCTCCAAAACAGAAATCTTCTTGGCTTTCCCCATACATCAGTTTTATTCTTGGACGGTCGTCTGTTTTACAGACGGTTTCCTAATGATAATTGTATTTGTCCATGTACTTATGTCCGATCGGACGTGAGAATGTACGCTGATGACATTAATCTCACATTTTCCTTCAAAGACTCTAATGAGTTGTTTTTAACCCGGACTCATGATTTGGACAGTCTGAAGCAATGGCTCGATTGTAACCGTCTAAGTCTTAATGTCCTCAAAACTAAATGTCTGTTTACAGGCACGAGGCACAAAATCTCCTTACTCCCTTGCGATCCATACATTTCTCTTTATGGGCATTCAATTGAGAGAGTCAATAGTTACAAATACTTAGGCGTTCAGGTTGATGAAACACTCTCGTGGGAGGCTCACATCTCCGAAGTCATCGGTAAAGTTGCAAAAGTACTAGCTGCCCTGAGGAGGCTAAGACCGATATGTCCCCAGAGTACCCTTGTTACTTACTATTTACAAATCATTGATTCTTCCGTATCTCGATTATTGCAGTGCTGTTTGGGGTTGTATTGGTAATGGTCTTTGCCAAAAATTAGAGAAACTTCAAAACAGGGCTGCACGTCTAATTACAGGGTCTAACTGGGATGCCAGCTCTGCCCCGATTCTTTATGCCCTTAATCAGGGATAGCCTCGCTGACAGACTTACAAAGCAACTGAAATCTTTAATGTTTAAAACTCTAAATAGCCTTTGTTACCAACTGCCCGTTAGCTAGCGGATTCTACCAAAATAGAACTTAGTTCCTCACAGTCTAGAGACTAAAACATGTACCCGTCGGATCCGCCATCTTGTTGTGTTATTGTGTAGTTTTCGGATCGCTAATTAAAACCTTTTGCTTTTCTCGTTCGTTGTCCAAGTTTTATTTTGTCTGGATAACCTTCGCCACAACCTTGTACCCATATACCTGGCTGATAAATTCGCTAGCATTAATATTATTCACAGGTATAATCTCAGAGATACGCAACATAACCTCTTTATCCCGCGACCAAACACTGAGGCCCTAAAGAAAAGCTTTAGTTATAGGGGCGCAGTAAAATGGAACAGCTTGTCAGCTGACGTCGAGCAGGCCACTACTTTGAATTGTTTTTATTACGCTATTGTAATTTAAGTTTCTTCTATCTAGGATTTTATTATAGGTTAATACATTGTACATTATAGGTCAATACACTGTACATTAAGATTCTTATATCTAAGTATTTATTATAGGTTAATTTTTAACTCTTAGTTTAATGTGCACGGCTCTTTTGAAGACCACTTATTAGTGATAAGGATTCCGTGGCTAAATAAAGATTGATTGATTATTTAGTTGTTTATTCACTTTTCCATTGGGAAAAGGGGAGCCCCCAAAATTGAAGTTCATGTGAAGTCAACCAATGGATGACAGATTTTCAAGGCGAACTAACATCACAGAACCAAAATCGAGGAAAAAGGGTGGCCACAAAAATTCAGAATTTAAAACAAACGTTTCAAATAACAACCTTGAAAGTTTTGATTAAAATTTCGATTCACCATCCGTGACGTCCTATTTAGTCCCGAATTATTCAAAAGGTGTATTTGACAGAGAGAGAGAGAGAGAGAGGAGAGGGAGGGAGAGATGTTTCTATTGTAAGGGTGTATTCGTATATAAGTCTATAGACAGTAGACCGAATGATTGCCACCTTAATCAGTTCAACCGCCTTTTAGGCTCGTGCTTAACTCCTCTGATAATTCCATTGTCGGATGTTTCCGGTCGTGAAGTGACATAAGGAGCTCCTCCCACTCCCCAGTTGTATGTCTGTCCATCGCAAAGTCTTCTTCAACATTTTCTTGGGTTTCCCTAACGGCTCATTACAACCTATCTATGGAGTGTTTAATTGGACAAACATCTAGAGATTGAGGAAAACTTCCTCGAATACTATTATTACATAGTTAGCTCCCTCTACTAACTATGATTATTAAGAAACATATCTGGTATTTTGAACCACCCTCGATATCCTACTGTACAAGAAAAACATTGATATAGGAAGAGGAAGGCTAAAAGGGAGAATATTCGCGAAAAGTGCAGATACTGCAAACAGATTTGACCAAACTCCTATTTATTTAAGTAAACGGTATCATATCATATTGAAAATCATAGCTTGATATATCACAGTGATATTCTCAAAAGCAAAGTGGCTTTGGAAATTAAAGACTCTCCGAGCTCTAACTTATGGTAAAAAGTGTTTGGCACACAATAAGAGAAAACATTGGCTGAGAGATGAGGGCTACGGTGTACAGAGCCACTCCTCAATAAAACAATGGCGACTTTTTCTCTTTTATGGCCCCCTTTGATCCACACCTTTTCCTCGTTTCTCCCGCTCTTCTCAGATGTTACGTTATAAAAATACACGGATCTATTGAAATGACTACCAAAGCTGTTTCCGACATTATCACTCTTCTCAGGGTTTTACACCGATAGCTTGGGCTGGTGATTCTCAATCATTCGATGCGTACATGTTTCCACCTTTTCACGTCTTTTAAAACCAGAATCTATTTCTAAACCTCCCTTTTCCCCCTCGTGTTATCGCCGCGCTTACTTCTGTCTCTAAAAAACTAATTATGGTACGCTTGTTCTTTTTTCTTTCAGGGGTACACGTTGAAATCGTCCACATTCAGATCTGCAGAAAATTTATTCTGAAATACAAAGATAAAACAACAGTATTTTGGACCTTGAGGATGATCATGTGCCCCCGCCTCATTTCAATGAGTGATGCTACCAGGAGGTACCAAAAGGGTGGGCGGCGGTCAAAATAAAAAAGAGTGGAAGGGGTGGGACAATAGAAATTATCGCCTAATCAATTTACTCTAAATCAAACACGGCTGGTCGAAAAAACGACAACGAGCTTGTAGTGGTATTTCGTTCTAAAAAGACACCTACACTTCCGGCCTCCCAGCCGGCAGTTTCACCGTAAAAGGTTAGCAAGTTAAGATGCAAAACTAGTTGGAAACTTTCTCAACCACTTACTTGTTGGACGAATTGGTCAACACAAGCCATTCTGATTCGCTCACTTGTAGCAGGACTGTCAAGTCGGAAGATTCCTTCGATGCCTGATTCCAGCCTGGGGAAGTAAATAACGCTTGATGCGTGAAATATGCCACTACCACAGGTATGTACAAGAACTGCTATTAAAATGTAAAAGGAAAATAAGAGGTAATTTAATTTTAGACGAGATGGTATTTATGCTATGGCCATAGAAACTTTTTTTTATTATTTCGATTTAGGGACTGTTCATTATTTCACGTTTGGGGTGGTGAGAGGATTTTGGTTGTGACACAATAAAATTTATCTGATTTCCCTCTCCCCCACCAAGGCTCTGAATTATTCTAATGACCCCCTAATCGGCAGTCAATTTTCTATAGACCCCCTTTATATTCTGTTAGCAACGATAGAACTCCTCCCTTTAGCTCCCCATGAACATCATGCGATCCATCCATAATCCTCCAGCCCCCCCTCCCTTCCCTTAATTCCACGGTTGATTCATCTCTGTGTTGTTCACTTCGACTGACCTGGCGTTCGAAATGGCATCTTTAATAGCATAAAACACCGAGGCTGCAAGAATTAAGGGAGGTTCTCCAACACCCTGAGAAAAAAAAATGGAAAACGAAATAAGCTTGATATTCTTTGTGTCACTCTCAACTTGCTTTGGTACCGGAAACACTTATTATCTAGTTCCTAATTTTACCATGGTGATTTATTAGACTTAAATGCTTATCAAGGGAGGAAATCAAATCATTTTTTCTAAAGCCGATTTTTATAGCAAGCATTAAACAAATATACGGCCAAAAACGTTTAAAATCTTAGCTAATTCAGATTAGCTCAGAGCTGAATGACTTGACTTCAGCGACAATCTTAAACCACATACAACTCTTAGACTCAATGAAAAGTGTTTTCCCAAACTTTATTGACACACACTCCCCGACACCATTACTAATATGAAATATTTCTTTTCGTTTCAAACCTTAGAACAGCAGATGGCGTGTTCATTTGGGGCATTTCGCAAAAGATGAACATTAAATTCCAGTGGTATATCTGCAATTCCTGGAATTTTGTAGGTCCTGGGCCCTGTCGTCAAGGGGACACCATTCCGAGAGAATCTCAACTCCTCCAGGGTAAACATCCCCAGTCCTTGCACGAAGGCACCTTCAATCTGAAACGTCAGGGTGAAATTAAGCTGTTATCGTCAGTCAGCAGCGGTAAATGGCACAAAAAGACTGGATTTCCCATCAACAAAATGAAAGCAACACCGAATATAAACGTGATAACATGCCATAAGGTGTGTCCTTTTTTGAATGAAAGCCCTCCTTGGTTTCTCCTCATTGCTGCATAGTGTCCCTATATCGACTTGGCAGCTGGTAAAAAGCCCTTAAAAAAAGTTTGCTGGTTTGACAGGGTTACAGCTTAAACTCTTCTCATTTGCCCAAGTTTATTTACAATCAAAGAGAGCTCCCTCAAAGGTTTTCTCGAATATCACTCGAAAGAGGTGGGGACAAAGACATAACTGACCTGTCCAATGTCTATAGCTGGATTGATGCTGTTTCCAACATCCATGACAATGTCTGTGCGAAGAATCTGTGATAAAAATCCACAAAAAATAGTCGCAGCCTAGTGCAGCAAATGCTGTGAAATATTTGTCAAATTGCTTAAAATGAGGATCTAGTGGCATGTAGCGCAGATGTTCATCCAACTTGAGTGACCAAAACCGAGCCACTAAAATGATTTCAACCCCTTCGAGCTGTACTTTTACACAATCCCTACGATCCAATATGTGGTAGGATTTAAAAAGGGAACAATTGGTGCTTAAAACCGCCGTTGGTGAGGTCAAGATTGTTTGCATGACTGTCAAGCTGATCAATTTTCGTGAAGGAATTTTATTTAGGGGTGAACCGTTCCATCAAAGGCTTAGACTGACCACTCAGCATTTTGCGTTGGCTAATAACTCGCATCACTTCTCGGTTCTAGTTCGTTTGATTAAGGTTTCACGTTGGTTTTTTAAAGGAGAGATGAAAACAAACAAAAGAACACAAAGACCACTCAGACTATTAGAAGAGTTTTCAGACTATTTCTGACTGTTACATTTATCCTGATGATCTAAACCTTCTGCGTACTTCAACCAGTCTTTTGTCAGTAGATCTGCGGTCTATAGCTACGTACCTGATGATCGCCTGTCAGACAGTCGACTTCCACTTCAGAGCAGGCGGCTCCGAAACTAAAGTAAGGGTAAGCTCGGCCTGAATTGCTCTGGAGATCGTAGTTTAGACCAGGATACCTGACGGTTATAAAAGAGTTAGGTCAATCCAAATTTAAGCCTGTAATGCGGGTTATTACAAGTTTGATACAATATCAAACGGTTATCTCTCCTCAATCAACGGATGGTTCATAGGAATAATCTAGATCTGAACGTTTGTAAAAACGAGAATTCCTTTTGTTGGATGAAACTAACATTACCACCTTAAATGCAAAAGTTGTTTACATACTTGTAAAATCCATTGGCAGAAAGGTTTACGCGGTCAAAGTAGGCCGCGTGCACCCAGTCTTCCCACTCTCCTTCTGGGTTCTTCTCTTGATAAGGTTTGAGCCGCTCTAATATTTCTTCGCAGGCATTCTACAAAGGAAACAATGTTTTTTTTTTCAAGTTCCTTCACCCTTATTGCGCGGCAAATTTAAAACTTACGGTGTGACCTGTCAGTCTATTGCATGTTAGCAATTTTGACAACCCCCTTACATCTAAGATAATAGGTTTATCTCAAATCTTTTAGCACGGAAAATTGGGACCAGAGAATCTTACCTCCTCTGACAGTGTGAACGTATTTCCAAATGATAATTCATTTTGTCAGTTGCTCTCATTTTTTTTCGGAACTCTCTAGCCTGATAGAGCATAAGCTTGGAAACTGGATCGAACAATCCGATGATGCGTACTATGTGTAGGTATATCAACAAGGTTGAAATGGTAAATGGGCCACCGTAACGATTACAAAAGCTGACGTTTCGAGCGTTAGCCCTTCGTCGGAGCGAAAGAAGGGCTAACGCTCGAAACGGCAGCTTTTGTAATCGTTACGGTGGCCAATTTACCATTTCAACCTTGTTGATATATCCAAATTATTTCGTTACCCCCACCGACGCAGCCCCAAACAGTTTCTTTCGAAACTATCAGCCTTTATTCATCTATGTGTAGGTATGTTATAATCAGTAATACACAGTAAAACAGCAAGCGCCTATTCCCACCTTAACTGCCATGCCGTTCAGATCAGTAGAGGCCGAGGCTGCGGTGGGGGTGCCATTTGGAACAGTGTTGGTACTTGTCTCAGTGAGGTGGATCTTCGACATAGGGATACCAAAGCTCCTTGCTGCAACCTGCATAACACAATTGAACAAGCCATCACTAATGTGCTAAAGTCACATTTACAAATTCATTAGCGTCTTCCAGGGGTTGGGAGCATAATTAGTTCTTGTGTTGTGGACAGAGATGCGGAAATTACAAGCACCTCTGATGCCTGTACTGATTACCCCTTGATCGCACCTGTGCCATTTTGGTGTGCAGACCTTGTCCGACTTCCACTCCACCGTGAGTGACAAGAACTGATCCATCTGTGTACACGTGGACCAATGCTGCACCCTGATTATAAAATGTAGTCAGGAGACAAAATCTGTATCTTAGTGCTGTATTATGATACAAAACGTACTCGAATAATTCTTTTAATGACACAAAGAAAAAACTCAGATATCCAAGCCGTTCAGTTAAGAGGGGTCTACTCTAACGTGCAAGTCAACATAGTCTGTTCTTCGTTTTAATATGAATCACAATGTCTTAAGATAGTGGTGAAAAAAAATAGTGAAGAAATGCTAAAGGCACAAGTTACACACTAGGGCGTAAACAGATATAAATAGAATTTTTTTCTTCTTGCAAAAGAAGGCAACTAACCTAGCTAGCCTTTCTGGGCTCTTCCCAAGGGCTTCACCCCTGAGGATGGCCTGAGTGGGTTTCTTTAGGGAAGGATGTAAAAGGATATGAAAAGTGTGCTCTAGAAAGAGCACAGGTGAATTTTATGGAGCCGATGATTACACAGTCAAGTACTTTCCAAATCTGCTGAGTTGATTCATTGAGTTTCGCATTTAAAGAAAATTAATTCCCAACATTTCGTTGGGAAACTATTTATTTGCACCATCGTTACCTGATTTTTGAACTTGATTGTGAATCCTACACTGCACATGGTTGGCGTTAAAGCAATGCCGCGTTTCTTCCAACGGTTTTCCCTAAAATATCATTGTAAGAAACGAACATGAAAAACAGGAACGATGAAACTAAAAATTCAAAGCCATTTTTTCCCTAAATCGTGAAATTGAATTTGATCGTATTTCATTGTCACTAAGAGCATTTCATTTGTACCTCAAAATGTACGTCTTGGCACTCGCCTTAGTCCTCTCGGCAGAGTTCGCACTCCTCTTGTTATATTCTCAAACAGCACTGCATAGTTATAAACGTTAATTTCTGATTTTTGTCTATTCTTTCCTATGCTTAACCTGACTTACTTGTTAAATGTATCCAACTCATCTCGTCGTTTATCAAAGTGGCACTTTTCTAACAGCTCATCCCAGACGCGCTGAATACGGCAATCAGTCAGCTCAAGATTGAAATGCGTAACATCTCCTTCTTTTAAAAAATTTGATTCTCGTACCTGTTGACAAGAATCCTCTTGATTAATTCTCTGATGGAAGTTTTCCATTTTTCAACCTTTTCATTTGTTTTTCATTTTTCCATGAGACTTCTCGAATAGAAATTTATGTCAAACGAGAATAATTGTCAGCGTTATATACTAGAATGGTAGGACTGTTTTACCTCTTTTTGAGAAATACCGCAGGTTATCGCCATGTCCGAGATCCATGACTCAGCAAACATCAAGGTCTACAAGAATGCATCAAAAAAAACGTAAGAGGTATGTTTTGTACAGAGATATTGTGCGAAGAAACGTTGGTCAAAGCAGTGCTGGACAGACCAGACAGTGAGACAGAAGAGACAGTGAGACAGGCCAGACAGTGAGACAGACCAGACAGTGAGACAGAACAGACAGTGAGACAGACCAGACAGTGAGACAGACCAGACAGTGAGACAGACCAGACAGTGAGACAGACCA